AAAAAAACAAAAGACAATTTACATTTGAAAATCGCAAAACTCAACAAGACTTCATTAGAATCTATCCTTATTTAAGATAAATTGAACACACATATAACACATGTTACATGATGCATAGTCGATTTCAACATATTCTAATTGTACTATGTGATAGTGGTGTAGCGCTTGCGGTCTTGAGCGCTCATATGAGTGTAAACGTTTTCTTTTTAAGATGTCGATAATAAAAATATGATCATTTATATTAAATTATTGTAATTAATTAACGCATTCACATATTTGTTAATAAAAATTTATGTATTAAATACTAAAATACATTTCCTAAAATGCACGAAATCTTTATTTCAAGCTACTGACTAACTGAATCTCCTCGTTCTTCCACTATAATAAATAAAACTCCAAGCTTTCGCCTTTCAGCATATCTGTAATAACATCAATTGACAATATTTTCTTAAGAACTATTATATTGTAATCGGATGAAACGACTCCATCTATATTATGTTATGTGTTTGATATTCCATGTTGACACCATGACACGATTAAAAATTTGTCCAGTTTAGTTAGAAAAACATATATGATCAGCAAAAAACTCAACTTTACGAACATTATTTTTTTCAGTGCATCTTCTCATATCTATCTTATACTATTTAATCTTTTCAATGTAAATTTTTATTTTGGGTGGATGTGTGTGGGTGAGAGTGTATGTATGGCTGGTTGTAGTCGTGCTATTGTTATTCAGTATCCACACCCACATCCTCAACACTCACACCCATCCATATCCACACCCACACACATCCACCCAAAATAAAAATTTACATTGAAAAGATTAAATAGTATAAGATAGATATGAGAAGATGCACTGAAAAAAATAATGTTCGTAAAGTTGAGTTTTTTGCTGATCATATATGTTTTTCTAACTAAACTGGACAAATTTTTAATCGTGTCATGGTGTCAACATGGAATATCAAACACATAACATAATATAGATGGAGTCGTTTCATCCGATTACAATATAATAGTTCTTAAGAAAATATTGTCAATTGATGTTATTACAGATATGCTGAAAGGCGAAAGCTTGGAGTTTTATTTATTATAGTGGAAGAACGAGGAGATTCAGTTAGTCAGTAGCTTGAAATAAAGATTTCGTGCATTTTAGGAAATGTATTTTAGTATTTAATACATAAATTTTTATTAACAAATATGTGAATGCGTTAATTAATTACAATAATTTAATATAAATGATCATATTTTTATTATCGACATCTTAAAAAGAAAACGTTTACACTCATATGAGCGCTCAAGACCGCAAGCGCTACACCACTATCACATAGTACAATTAGAATATGTTGAAATCGACTATGCATCATGTAACATGTGTTATATGTGTGTTCAATTTATCTTAAATAAGGATAGATTCTAATGAAGTCTTGTTGAGTTTTGCGATTTTCAAATGTAAATTGTCTTTTGTTTTTTTCTCATTTCGTGATCAGTATCATATTATATGTTAAAAGATAACCTTTTAAACTACCTTTTTGCAATCAATCGTAGCTATTTTTTAAAGGTCTTCTTCTACTTTGTTATAAATGAAATGTAATAGATACCTACCATACAGTGGAGAAAAAACCAAGAGATGCCAATTTCGGAAGTAAAATAAAAAGATAAAGAAGGACTACATATAAGAAGATGATTATCGTTTAGCCTTTCATTTTTTTTCAAAATAAAGACGATATACTAATACACAACCAGAGGTATGAAAATTATTTCATAAGAGTCAGAGGAGAAATTTTAAAATATTAAAGATCTGTAAGAAAGAAGAAGATTTGAATCGTGCTTGAGAGGATCATATCAGAGCTGGGCGAGTACGGACTTTCTCGAGTACGAGTACAACAAAATCGTACTCGAGTTCCAACACGAGTACTATTGTATCGAGGGTGACTAAGAGTTTTTGCCATAGTTAGTAGGGGAAAAATCTATATTTAAACAGGCGAAACAAAAAGACGTCAAGATTTCATGTCATCCATGCAGCACATAATTACATAGTAATTTATATGAGACACAATTAAGAACTCTAAGAGCATATCCTCGAGTACGAAAAAAAATGCATTCGAGTACGTGTACGAGTACCAAACCCTCCGAGTATGAGTACGAGTACCAGCAAAATCGTACTTGAGTACGAGTACTTCGAGTACTTTGTCCAGCTGTGGATCATACAAATTTTATTGTTCGATTTTATTTGGATTATGGCTGCCAATTACTCTTTAAAGTTATTGATAAAATATTCTATAGGCTTTGAGCTCTTTGCTAAATTAAGGTTCCATTCGTAGCTAGATAAACCGGTCAAAGGGCAATCAATTATCACTATCATCCATAGGCCTAGCACTTGAGACAATAAGCCAGGTCACGCAATCCAACATTGGATCCGATCATCCGATAGAATTCCTGGTGACGGATTTGCATTGCATTCTGTCGGAAAAATTTCAGTCACTTGCTGTAAATTTTATGGGCGGTGTTTTTAGCTATAATGTACTATGGCCTTATAGTCACCTATTGGATCCGTCTAGATTCGTGTGTTGGAAACTATGAAATCCGATGTTGGATCTGATGGGATCCGAACACGACGGAATCCGAAGTGATTCCATCACCAGGAATCCTACAAGATTTTGTCGGATCGTCGGATTCCGATAGAATCTGGCATAGGATCCGAGTATGGGATTGTTATAGACATGGAACTGGTCCCGCACGTATGCAGGTCCCTGGTCCAGCCCGGGTCAACTTTTCAGACCGGTCGGTTCTTATCGGTATTTACCTTTTTTTTTCATTTTTTAGGGATACTACTGTTTTGAATCTTCGCTAAAACTTTTATTAGTTGCCTATAACGCTAATTTTTTTTACAGAGTAGTAACTTAAATTATCAAGGTTTTCTTTTTTCTTCCTCTTCAGAAGAACTAATTTTTCCCAAGTTGAAAATTCTTCGTTTTTCTTTGTCCAACATGTTGATGCAATTTTTATTGTCTTTTTCTTTCCAATAATTGAGCGTCTTCTCGCTTTTTCTTTTTTCTTTCCACTTTCTAACTATTTATTATTATTACTGAAAAGGTTTGTGTGAAGTGAACATTATTTTTTCTAGTTTTCTATACGATATAAACCGATTGTTAAGATGCTCACTGATTTCACGCAAGAAGCAGCTCCATCTACTCAAAAGCAAGACGATTGTTTTGCTGTAGGTGACTGGCTATATGTGGAATGTAAATATGAAGAGGCTCGAGAATATTTTCAGAACGTCTTAAAACGGTCATCTTTAAATGCGTCTGATTCGATTCGGTGTTACAAGTCGTTGGGTGCAGTCGAAGTCGAATTACAAAACTATGATGAAGCGTTAGATACATACAACACGCTGCTAACGATTCTAATGAAATGCGATTCGCCAACTAGAAAGGAAGATATTATGACGTGCTACGTCTCAATTGGCAAAGTCTATTGGTTAAAGGGTGACTATGTTCAAGCTATTAAATATCATCATGAAGCACTCGACGTTGGATCTCTCACATCAAATCCAACTGTTATGTCAACTATTTATAAGAATCTAGCTAACATTCATACAAATACAAAGGAATTTGAATTATCACGAGAGAATTTCCAGAAGGCGCTTGAAATTGATCGTCAACGCCTTAGAAAAGATCACCTACAATTCGGACAAACCTACGCAAATATGGGGAAAATGTATCAAGCAGAAGGAAATTATAAGGAAGCGTTAGCTTATTTTGAAAAAGCTCGTGAAATATGGCTCAAAACTCTTGCACCAACTCATGTGTATATTGAAAAGATAGAAAAGACGATCGACAAGATGAAATCAAAGTTAGGTAAGTAACCAAACTGTCAAGAGGTCAATTTATATCCTATCGAATGGGGTAACGTACAGAAAATTCTCTGTTACTTACAGAAGGCGATAAGAACCTCTTCTATCTTAAGCGGTCATAAAACAGCAATGATGATCATGCTTTTTCTTTTGATAGTTCCAGCCGCTGCAATTGCACAACCTCTAGAACAGCCTATGAATCCGTTGGATGTTCTTGCTAAAAACAACGTAATGATAATTTGGTTAGATGAATACATTGGTCGTGACGAGAATTGTCGAGCACTTAAAAACGAATTTCGTCAAATTACTAACAGTCTGAAGATGGTAGACTCAGTCGAGAGTTGTCGACAATGCTTACAACATGTGAAAGATCGAAAACTCTTCTTCATCATTCAAGGCAAATATGCTAAACAAATTGTTCCTGAAATTGTTCAAATTATACCGCCAGATATGAAGCCAATCGTCTACATTTTCTGTTTCAATATGACCTACTTAATGGACTGGGCTCAAGAACAAGAGTGTATAATGGAAGGTGGTATATTTACTCATGAGGCAGATCTATTACTTAGACTTACCAACCACTTGAACGACTATGTTAAACAGAAATCAGTTGAATATGCAAATTATTTGCAACCGGAATTGATCTCAAAATTTTTGGCGGAATTGAAACAAATGTTCGAGCGCTGTTGCAAGGCAAAAGACGCGCTTACATCTCCCGATCAGACCGACAATGATGCAAACCAAACGGCAACCATTATGGCAAAATGAACTTTGCTATGTAACAGTCTGACTGATATTGTAAACATTACAAAATAATAATTCTATACAAGATTTATGTCCAGTTTCATTTCATAATTATCATCATTATACAAAATATAAAATCATTTATTTCTGCATTTTAGATGTCGTGTTCTACTGTATACTTTCTCATTGTATGTGTTCTGAGGATATATAAATGAAGAAACTTGTCTCCATAGATATACATCGTCTTCTCTCTCACGTCCACTTCTAGATAAAAGGGTTAAGATAAAAAGTAGTTTCGTAGAGTAACGTGTCTACGCTCTATCAATTAATGTGAAAATAAAGAGGCAAAAAAGTCTATTTGAAGTATGGATTATATGCACATTATTTTTTTTTGTAGAAAATCATGATGCGAGCTCAAGGTCAAACTGAAGTAAGCGATGAAAGCTAAAATTTGATCTTATAAACGACAGCTTATTTGTTCGTCGTCTTTTGTAGCAGTCAGATGAACCACTGGTACCTCTTATTTCTCCTCCTCCAGTACTCCAAGAACCAGTTGAAGAACAACAACCACCTCAAGAGCAACTTCCAGTTGAGTAAGTAGTTAAGCAAATGATCAATACTAGAAACCGACTCGAACCGATTTTACTGTTTTCATATTAATTTTTAAGA